AATGCTTCTTTCTATAGTGCTAGGCACATATAATATAGGCTTAATAAATATTGATGACTATTTCCCCTCCAGTATTCCTTTTCAAATTTCTATCCCATTTGTTAAATATTACATTTATATTATCCCCCAAATTGAATGTCTCCCTTCATTTAATTCTGAAACAAAAAAGAAACCCCATGGGTTTAAATAGTTTTTACTATTTGGTATAAGAAAACAGACTAGCTTGTTTACAGAAGCAATGTTTTTCTTGGTACTAAATTTGAAAAGGAATTTATTATAAGATTATTTATGGAGCATGAGGCTGGTGGAATGGGGACAGCTCCTTCTTCTAAAACCTACTTAACATGTTGAGATTAGAAAAAAAAAATTTCCATTAAATACAGCAACTCTATCAAATTACATCAGCAGCCCAGAGGGACTGGGTCACCAGGAGGTGGATCAGACAGAGAGAGCTTTGTATGTTCCCCTACCTCCAGAGGTTCCACTGGGAAGCCAAAGAGTTAAGACTGCGAAAGGACAGGTATAATCTAGAAATTGTAATCTGAAATTACTTCTTACATCATAGGTCTATTTTTGTCTTTATGGAGCAGAGTTGTCAGTAATTTACTGTAATTGCAATAACCAGATCATTAAACTATGACTGTAGAAAGCATAGAAAAAAATACATCTGTCCTTTCAGTGACAGTAGCAAAGAATATACTTGACTGTTTCTGTCAAGTACTATTCCCATTAAAAAATCAAGTCTCCATACCTTAGGGAGGTATTTTAGTCACAAGCACACACAGGCATCCCTCAGAGGATATAGCTCGTTGGCTTGCCTTGCATACACAAGACCCTGGGTTCAATCCCTAACATCACACACAAAAAAAAGACTAGGCATAGCTAAAGAGAGCCAGTGAATTGGAAGCCATATCTGAGGAACTCACCTAGAATGCATTATAGAGAGATAATGAGATTAAAACGGGAAAAAGAGGATATGACACAGAAAGGATAGAGAGGCTTTGATGTATATCTAAGAAGGTTCTCCAAAGAGAGAATAGAAGGCTTATGGAAGATCAGCATATCTTCTTATAAAACATTACTATAATTTTTGTCAGAGATGTAATACTGGATTAGATAAACCTTGGGAAATTTCCCTAGTTTTTAGTTTGTGTTTAGTTTTGTAGTGAAATACACATTAATTTGCCCCCTTCAGTGTGTTGCACTAGGACCATGAGCAGACAAGCCAAGTCTACAGTGCTGATACCACCAGGGTTCCCAGTGGAGGAGCAGCCTTATGCAGACCACCAGAGTTCTTTCTCCAACACCCAACACAGGGCTGATGGACAGAGGTGGGCATTGGACTCAAGGACAGCCTGTTTGTCATGGCCTGGTATGAAAAGAAGAGCTGAGGAAATCAGACTCTGTCTTTTTAGCATTTAAGTAGGAAATTAAGTAACAGAAGAGGCTAAAATGGAAGGTTAATGATATGTCAAGTGGCTAGAGAGTGCACAGTGGTCCCTGTGCAAGCTCAGATTATGAAGGAACAGCAATCAAGTGTAAGAAGCAGCCCTGGAGAAGAAAAGAGCTGTGCAGGAAGAAATAGGGGGCAAATCCAGGTGGGAGGGAAAGAGGACGGCTGACAGGTAAAGTGTGACTGTCTCTCAAAGGCAGGCAGTAGTGTCTAATTAGTCTCAAGCATACACCTTCTGCCCAAATTCTCTTGCACTGCCTGGAATCCATTTCTATTTCCAGCAGTAGAGGTACACCACAATTCCTGGGTCTTTGTGGACCCTGTTATTTAAACTTTTCTTGGGTTTCTGTGCCTTTTATCCTTCTAATGAACCCATCATTATAGGGAGAAACTATAATGAGTCTTTGTTCCTTGAAAATAGAAGGTCTTAAGGAACACCAACCAGAGTCCGTTAAGCTATACAATTTACCTAGGTCACCTTGGTTACACAGAGCCCCTTTCCTGTTTAATTCACCCTGTGGAGTGGGAGTGGAGGAGACTGTGATGGGGCTGATTTTCTGATTTTTCCTCAGAAGGTCTACTGTGCCCGGAGGCTTGCTCTTCTGTGTTACCTTTGCTGGTGTGAAGAAGGAAAGGGCAACTGTCAAGGGAGGTGCTAACAGGAACAGTGCCTACTTCTAGAGAGAAGATGGAATTGCAGACAGTGTGGTCATTTTCCCCTACTTTCTGATAGAGGAAACTGTAGAGCTATGTCCATGAAGATGATGGGAAATGGTATGGCTTAGTGACACATGCTTAAGGCAAGACCCCAGTTCAAATCCTAATCCTGCTGATCATTATTGGATGACTAAAATGTTACTTAATTTTTCTGTGTCTTAGTTTCACCATCTGAAAAGTAAGTTCAAAACGCCTTCTGTATATTGTATTAAAAATATTTAAGGTATAATTCAAAGAATATTAGTCTCCAACACCTCCCACATTAGTATGTAGGTAGACTATCCAGGCATTCTGTCTCTATTTTTGACATGATATTGTTGTTAAATCTAGGGTTTGTAACAATATAGTGATCATGGATATGGGGTTCTGAAAAAGTCAGAGGGAAGGGGAGGGAAGATGTGCTTTCTACCTCCAACATGTCCAGTACATATAGTTTCATTAGTTATTCATAGGAAGGGCTGCTCAGAGGAGCACACAGGGCCCAGTGTGGAATTGGGCCCTGACCTTCCCAGGCACCTCGGCAAGAGTCTTAACCTGATTGCTAGGTGCATGACTGCAGAAGAAATCTGTAGCCCCATGAACCCAAGTGAACTGAGAGAATGTAGAAGTACCCAACTCAGCCTCCTCTCACTGTAGCAAACCAGAGATCATGTTCTGCAGTTTGGGAGTCAACCCAGTATCCTGGTTTCTGCCTAAGAACAGGATACTACATGCCTGCCTGCCTTCCTCCCCCTCTCCCCCATTTTTCTTCCCTTTTCTATTTTTCCCTTTTCTCCTCTTGCCTCCCTCACTTTGCTTCTTTCCCTTTCCTCATCCAAGAATCCCTGTCTTTGCTCTGGTCCCAGACCCGCCAACTATTCTTGTGGGCACCATTTCACCAGTGGGTGGCCCTTGTGATGAAGGCACTTTGGCAATGCTGCCTCTGCTCTGTCACAGGGCGCCAATTCAGAAACCATCTCCAGAGTTCCCCTAGAACAGCTGAAGACATTACACCAGGTTAAATATAGTCAGAATGCCCTAGTAACCATCTTATACCCAAGGCCCCATGGATCTTAACTCTGCCATATCTTGATCTCATGATTTAGGAATGAAGTGAATATTTCCTTGGGGTATATCTTTCAGCTGGACAGAGATAGGAGATTTGCAAAATGAATGAGTTTCTTATCTCTGTCTTACTGGGGAGGTGGTGGGAGTGGAGAGCATCTAGGATCATTGCTCCATCTAAGACTGGGGGAAGAGTGGAGTGAGTGAGTAGCTCAACCTGTGGGTTACTCCGTTAGGCTTCAGCAGATATTCCTGTTTCAAGACAAATCACTCATCCATTGCCCTCCCTACCCCTACATGAGCATGTATGAGAGGGAGGGCCTGCACCTGCCACTGCAGAGATGGAAAAATGTGGGGTTGTGCTGTGCCCAGATGGGAGGTACAACACAATTCCTGTGGCTTTGATTACACTGGGGGGGTTGTATGATGGATTTAGCGAGTGACACCAGTACTAGGGAGTCAATTCCCTAGGAACCTGTGCATTAAATTATTTTAATTAGTTTAATTGTTTGTTGATTTCCTTTTAAAATTACATATATTATAAATAATTTATGGTTTGATGTAGGTAGGGGAAGTACAGAGAGGGAAACAAGAACATCAAGAGGAAACAAAAAAAAAAAAAAATCATTTGCATCCCCAAGAAGCAAACAACCACTGTTGGCTTCTTGTATCTGCTTCCAAAGATTATTGTTGCATATTTTTGGCTTTTTTAAAAAAAATTATGATCATTGAATTTTATATTTTTCATTTTGCTTTCAACATCATAGCATATAGTTTCCTACCACTGTAAACTTACCATAATTATAAATGCTTTTTAATGGATTTGAGATATTTGTTTGATGAATATAACATTATTTATTTAACTTGTCTTGTTTTTGCAAATGTGGATTTGTTCTCTCACCTGCTATTATAAATACTGCAATGATGAGCATCTCAGGGCCTGAACATGAATAAGAATAGGCCTTTAGCTGGATACTGTGTGTGTCAGGCCTATGGAGACTGTACAGGGCCCCTGATGTCAAGTAATTTACAGTCTAATTTGGGAAATAAAAATATAGTCCTTGGTTAATCCTGATCTCAAACAGCAGTTAGTCTAATTTGAATTTGAGCTTTGTCTGATATCTGATAATTGACAGCAAATTATGTTTTCCTCCCATTTGGTTTAAATGGTCTGATTACAGCAGTTGGTTTTATACATCCTAAAATTGTAAGTATTTGTGAGGAACCTGTGCATTAAATTGCAGGCAGCATTGACATAATTCTTGAGTGCATTTCTGATTTTTATGGGCCTTTTGAGATCTATTCTCTTCTTTTTTTGTTTTTAAAATTACTTTGAATCTCATGGGGAAATATTCCAAAAAAGAACTATGAAATTCCTAAAAGTTGAGGAGATTCAAAAAGAATGCCATGGGCTGACTTGTAACATAGTGGTAGAGCATGTGCTAATGTGTATAAGACTCTGGGTTCATTCCTAGGGGGGAAAAAAAAAGATGCCACAGCTTTGTGTGTTTATGTGTGTGAGTGAGGGCATGGAGCTGCAGATCAGGGATGGGGAGACATACAAGGAGTAAAATAGAAAACAACCTTTTTGAAGGATGCTTTCAAATTCCAGGATTGTGAAATACTAGAATGCAATGTATGTATATCTGAGCACCAAGTCTTTCCAAACTCATCTTTAGAAATGTTAGAGTAATAGGGACTTCCCCAGAGTCTTAGTGGAATGATCCAACTGTGTACCCTCTGCTCTGGATGGGGATGCATCTCAGCATCTGTTTTCTTCTTGCAGATCGATGACCCCCACAGCAGCCTTGAGGAGGTGATGAATGAGGCCGAGGCCATCACCTCTGTGAACAATCTGGGAAGCAAGCAAGCCTTGAATACAGATTACCTTGATTCTGTTTATCAAAGAGGACAGCTGTACCCCTTCACCCTCAGCAGTGATCTCCAGATGGCCACATTCACTCTCACAAATTCAGTTCCCATGACCCAGTCCTTCCAAGAACGATGGTACATGAATCTCAACAGCCTGGTGGACCAGGCCTTAATCCCGCACTGTGGCAACGGGGAAGACCTGTATATCATTACAGGTGCAGTGCCCTCAGGCAGCAAAGTTAAAGACAAAGTGACTATCCCTGAGTTTGTCTGGCTGGCAGCCTGTTGTGCTGCCCCTGGAGGCGGCTGGGCCATGGGCTTTGTCAAGCATACCGGGGACAGTGACATCATCGAAGATGTGATGGTGAAAGACCTCGAGAAACTGCTTCCATTTAACCCTCAGCTTTTCCAGAACAACTGTGGTGGGACTGAGCAAGACACAGAGAAAATGAAAAAGATCCTCGAAATGGTTAATCAAGTCCAGGATGAGGAGCGAATGGTGCAATCTCAAGAAAGCTCTAGTCCCCTCCCCAGCACCAAGAGCAAGAGGTCTGCCCTGTTGCCTCCAGAGACACCTGAGGGAAGTAGTAGCTTTTTGGGAAAACTCATAGGTTTCATTGCTACCCCATTCATCATGTTTTTCCAATTAATTTATTATCTTGTGGTGGAAATCCTGAAGAACACTGTCTATTTCCTGTGGTATGTTACCAAGCAGGTGGTTGATGGCATAGAAAGCTGCCTTTACAGCCTGGGCTCGGCTATCATCTCATACTTCTTGGCTATTGGAGAAGAGTTGGTGAGCATACCCTGGAAGGTGCTCAAGGTCCTGGTCAAGGTCATAAGAGCCATTCTTCGGATCCTTTGTTGTCTGCTGAAGACCATTTGCCGTGTTCTGAGTATCCCTCTCCGAGTCCTTATGGATATAGCCACTTTCCCTGTGTACACTGTGGGTGCACTTCCAGTCGTGTGCAAGGATATTGCCATGGGAATTGGTGGCACTGTCGCTCTGCTGTTTGAGACTGCATTTGGCACTATGGGTGGCCTATTTCAGGTTGTTTTTAGTGTTTTCAAGCGGATTGGCTACAAGGTTACTTTTGACAATTCTGGGGAGTTATAGAATTCAAAAAATAAATAGTATCTAGTCAGAGTGAATTTGATCTTTTTTTTAATAGAGAAAGCTGGAATATTTTGTTTTTACAATGGGTTTCTATCACTGTTAATTGTCATTATATTTTGGCTCTTGATGAGGGTGTTCACCTATTTTTGCAAAGAAATATGATGCAATTTAGATGACCCAAGAGAAATGCTCAGGGTGGGGTTAGGTATGGGAATCTGCAGTGTATCTCTAGAGATATGTGAAACTTCCAAGCCATTAATAACTTCAGTGATTCACTAATACAGAGTAAAACACCTGAAACATTCTGATGTGCATTTGTGATAAGTAAAAATTACAGGGAAAAGAAGCATTAGGATAACTTTTAACCAAAAGCTTTCTGAGAAAAGGAAACAGAAACCTTGTTCTTCTCATTACGCTTTGAGATTTAAGGCAGAACCGATCTAAATATCCTCAGCCAATTTCTGAGCCTTTGCTTGTCCTTCTCCCCAACTCAGCTGACCTTGGGAAAGTGCAGAGGATGCTTTTCCACTGAAATAGCTCCTTTAGAGATATAAAACCTGTGATGTCTCTTAGCTTTCCATGGTTCTCAAGAACCTTTAGAGTTTTATTTTCTTCCAAAGTTGAAGATTGCATTTTTATTTTAGATAACGATAAGCATTTTATGCCAATTGTTGCATAACAAATTTTGGATGCAGCCTTGAATGGAGTAAATACAGCCCCTCAGGTGTAAAAAAGGGAACACAAGGGTAACAGCCGTGCTCTTAAGTGGATGCTGCAGAACCAAGGATATCCTCAGCCAAGCTTGGATTAACTTGATGTATATTAAATCGCTGGCTGACAAGACTGAGCTCAAAGGTCTACATGTTAAATAATATGAAAATTTATACTCTGCAACATACTACATCTTTTTAATGTATCAAGTAAGTACCCAATACAGAAAAACTGTTTGACTTCTCTCCTTAAATAATTGTTATGGTATATCCATATTGAAATACAAAAATAAAAGAATATTCTGGCCATCCTGGGGAAAATTTTATGTATATAAATACTTAAGAATCTTTATCTCTTAGGAAATTATGTTTTTTTAAAGAGAGAGAGAGAGAGAGAAAAAAATTTTTAATATTTATTTTTCAGTTTTTGGTGGACACAACGTCTTTATTTTATTTTTATGTGGTGCTGAGTATGGAACCCAGCACTCCGCGCATGCCAGGCTAGCATGTTACTGCTTGAGCCACATCCCCAGCCCCAGGAAATTATTTTTATAGTGTGTTTGAAGCTAGAAATGCAGGTGAAATTTGAAAGCCATTCCCATTTTTTGATCAAGCACTTTTCATTTTAAGTCTTGCACTAAAAATGGTAACAGAATCAGATTTTGCTTTGCCTTCCACAGCTAGTATAGTCATCTGGATTTTTCTGAGTGTTCTAAACAGTTTCTGTGACTAGGAAAGGGCCACGGTGGTGAAATACTGAACTTGGTATAGCCCCTGAATCATCAGAAAGTTAGATGCAAAAGTTAGGAGTCTAGAAAGGTAACAGAGCTGGATGAGAAAGAGTGTAGCAAGAGGTACACTTTGTAGAAAAAGAGTTGAGTTGCACCCAGAGTGAAGCAGGGGCCAGCAGGCTGCCAAGCTGATCAATTTTTGATGCAGGGTTAGGAGGGTGAGCACAAGAATGGTACATGTTAGGGACAGATGACACTTGATTTATCCAAGAGTCCAAAGCAGTATTTGCCTACACTTTTCTATGGGTAAAGAGGAGGGTTAAGATTTGCGTTAGTACATCAGGTCAAGAATCCTGCTGGATGAAAGAAAGGGAATCTTAGAAGTGACCAGAGAGACAGAACTCATGAAGAGCTTGAGGCACAGGGAGGCAACAGGCTTGTCCTCAGTTTTATGACTAGCTGAGAGCAAAGCAGGAGCCAGGGTTGCCCCATTACACCTAGGATGGCAGATATGGAAAAGTGTACTGTCACTCAACTATCTCCTCAAACCATAAGCAGGATTTTCTCATCCACCAGGTTCTAGGCCCTGAATTTAGCATGTGCAATGCTTTCAGATGCTCAATAAATGAAATGAAATAAATGAAAATGATTGTCATCTATATGGGACATCGTGCATACTGCATTTCATGTAACCTGTTTTCCCTTATAGTACATATTTGCATACCGGAAGGTCCAAATTTGGAAACTGAGAAGCATCTATGGCAGTTTGAGTCACTTAGCATCACGCAAAGAATAGGACATCCAAACCGCTTCTTGAGAACCATTTGGAAATATCTTCTTTTTTTCCACAGTCATTTCTTTATTGTCTATTTATTTAGACTTTCATGACATTTTTTGAGACCTTAGAAGGAATAATGAAAAAATGTTCATGAGGTTAGGTGGCTGAGGCCCTTTACTCTGGACCAATAGTGTTAACTGTACCTCTAGTTCACTGGAACTGGTTGTGTTGGTCTTGAAGCTCCACCAGGTACTAGACTGCTGGCTTGTTCCTAACTTTGGGAACTCTGAGGTAGGAGTTTGGGTTACTGAACCTCTGGCTTGAAGATTCTGCTGTGGCTCTGTTCTGTTCTTAGGCCCTCGGGGAAGTCCACCACTCTTACTCATTTATGGAGCCTGATTTTTTTTTTTTTCAGTCATGCCTTTGGACTCCTCTTTTCCATTGTGCCTTTTGAATGTTGGCTTCTCACTCAGCATCAGTACTTTCAGCAAATTGTAGATTAGGGAGTTGGGAGAAGGAGTGAAAGTGAAGCATTCTTCATTCTTCAATCATTCATTTATGTAGCAAACATGTATTTAGTTATCAAGACTGTAGAGATTCATAATGCATGGATTACATCATTAAGGAGTTCAAATATGGTGGGAAGAATGCATGCTACAAACCATATTTGTGGAACATCTTGGTAAGTGCTACATTAAAGCTACTAGCAGCATGCCCCCTAGAGCACAGGAGGAAAAACTATAAAACCATGAAAATTAAGGAGAACTTTTCAGAGAGTATGATAGAAGTAACCTGACATTTTCAAGCTGTGTACAATGCTGTACATCTTTCAGATGCTCAATAAAGTAACTATTGGTAATTCATTAGCAGTTCTGAAAGAAGAGAATCTAAATGGTTGAAATGAGGTTTGGGGATTATCTACTGATTTTCAAATATTTTTGATCCATATTAACTCAAGCAATTCCTAGTCACATCTAGCTTTGTTCATTTTTTAAAAATATTGAGTCATACATGAGAAATAGAAGTTTTAATCAGTGAAACAGGGCTTAGAGCTACTTTTCAATGTTATTGGTGTCTTTCACAAATAAAGACCAAAGGCTTATTGCTTCATTGAGTCTGAATCACATAGAAGAGTATAGAAACACTCTAATTTATTGTATTTCCATTAAAAATCTCCCACAGTGTGAGAAATTACAAGCAGTCTCTGAAGGGAGGGCTGGTCGTCTTTGTGGATTTTAGTGGGGTGCCCCCTCTGGGTGGAGATGGCAGTAATTCTTGGCTGCCTTTCAGGTAGGTGTGTGTGAGCCATGTGGTGTTCAGCATTCTGCCTAAGTTCACCACCTAAGTGTGTTTTTCCCAACAGCACACTGTAAGCAAAGCATGACCTGCTTGCCCTTCATAAGTGAGTTCTCAGGCTTCTCATTGGCTCTTTCTATAGGTATTTTCCTCAGATCATTGTTTGATCTCTAACAGTTTACACTCTAAACCAATTTTTAAGCTTCAATTTCAACAAAGAAAGCACTCATGCCCACTTGTCATTGATTCTTGGCTTGTCAAGTGGGAGTACATAGTGAGCTGTTCTTAGGACGTGGACTTCCCAGAAGGTCACTCCTGGAGGCCAGTATTGCCTAATGGTTAAGAGCCCAAGTCCCAGAGTCAAAACTACATAGGCTAGAATCCTAGCTTCCCAACTTAATAACTGCAGTCTTAGGATAGTTACTTACCTTGGCTTCTTTACCTATAAAATGGGACTAATTATGAATAATGTATCAGGAGGGTTGTTGTGAACAATAAGGAATTAATGAATAGAAAGTTTTCATTACTCTACCTGGTCCATGGAATCGATCAGCACACGGCAATTGTTAATAGTCTAGCTGTTGTTGGCAGTAACATCCACATAGCTCAGGTGAAATTGGTTGGAAGTTGCCATAAAGGCCAGGGTTTTCTAGATCAAAGCTGGAAGGGCCAGGGTCAAAGTACAGTCTGGGAGTCAAGGTCATGGATGAAAATGAAGGAAGCCAGGGCCTCGTCAGAGTGTGAGTGACTTGGAGGATCAGGTGAGTGTTGGACCCTGGAGTCTGGGAAGAAGAGTGTCAGAACACAGGAGTGTAACATGGTTCTAGCACTGCAGAGTAGAAGACATTTTCCCTTCAGGCCCCTGCCGCACTGAGTCCACACTTTTCTAAGTTCTGGCTTCCTCAGAACCCTATTACTTACAAGGGAGTAAACTATACAGACAGCATATATATATATATTTTAGCTGCTAAAAAGGATGGTAGCTCTCATCGTAAATAGTCATTATTTTTCGGTCTCTTTGAGTTAAGGCATTATGATTTATATCCCCAAAGATTAATTGATCCTGAAAAATTGATAACAGAGAATTTCTGGACCCCCATATTGGGACCCCTAGACCTATACTTGCATGATCACCTGCTTTCCCCACACCAATATGCACTCACCAGGTACGTCTCCAAAAGGCCCTTCCTCTTCCTCAGTGTTGCGTCTTTCCACACGCAGTGTCTACATCCACAGCACGTGCTAACAACATGTTGGAACATTGGAGGCCTGGGTTTGATACAAAACTACATAGGATCTCTGCAAATTTCATAATAACGTGTCATTTTTAATGAGAAATTATTTTGTTTGATAAAGAAGAACCATGCATTGGGGTTTCTAAGCCTTGACCTTTCAAGACTAGTCTTGCCTATTTTATCTTGATATAGTTACTACTCCCTAAAAAGATCATTTGATCATTTTTTCAATCCTGAGCCCCTTTCCTTAGGGAAAGCTGCTCAGGCAGCCCCATCCATGAATGGTCTTACCTCATGAGCACCTTAAACCCTCAGAAAGCTCTGGACAAGGGTAAAAAATTATAAGAGTAATAAGACTTTATCTATGCAACCACCTAAAGTTAAACTTACATGGTTTTAAAGGTATAGGAAAATGTATGTCATGTTTAGTGAGAGGGCTTATGAGAATTAATACAATAATTTGATGGGGGTTGAGAAGATGCCTGATGTCATGAATCAGCTCTCATTAGTTCTTATGTGTCTGTGAGCCCTTCCTAAATACAAACATATC